TGCTACATTTGTCGCAGCTTTTATGTTGGTAAATTATGGCTTATATGTTGAAAAACTCATAAGGTACTAACTATAATTTTACACTTATGCTTATGCTTCCTGAGAAACAAATTAGGACTCATATATGCTGTATTTTAGCTCCATTTACCTTGACATAAGAATCATTTTGTTACAAATAATATTGCCCAGTTTTTCTTGTTTTTGCGCCGCTTCCGCCCCAGTTTTTCAGTAACAATTGTTTCTGATTATTTCTGTGGAAACTGAGAAAAGCTACATTTTCTGTATATGTTGTAAATACATGCTGTGGTAGTTGCATAATCTGTTTTCAATTTGAAGCTTAAGAGGGGTGGAGTTTAGCCTGTCAATCAGGTTGCATCTTGAGGTCTTCATTTGGAGTCGCTAAAGAGATACATAGCTCACGGGAGACTGAACACTTGCTCACTCCCTGCGAGACATTCCTTCTGACAAGGTACATGGAGCTATGCTAGAGCACTGGAGCTGGAGGAGCCACGTGGAGATCCCTGCCAGTGTTGAGATGTTTCCACCACCACTGGATCCACAAGGCTTTTCCACCCACTGGCCTGCGATCTTCCTGGATTCAGTGTCATTGCATGAGTCTGAAGAGGAATTTATAGATTGCTGTTGGACATATGGGCTAATGTCAGACTTATGGAGTTGATCTGGACTGGGCTGGGATGTTTTCTTAAGGTAAAATTACTCTTTGATATAAAGTTCTATCTTACACACATGTGAGTGTCTGTGAATTTGTTTCTATAGTCTACCTGGACTAACACACATGCCTTATTTTGTTTTTCTTTTTGTGCTCCTTAAAATGGTATAAGTTTAATCAAATTAAACTTTATGATATTATATCTGGAAGACATTCTTCTGAGTACCCATTTGGTATCGGGCAGTATAGAGAAATAGCTTTTACATTCAGCTTTGACTTACTCTAGCAATTAGTGAACTTTTCCTTGATTTAGTTTAAGGACCATAGGATGTCTATTTTTTAAAACATTCACATTTATGTAATGCTTTACTCACTTCATTCAGGTATGGGTTCAATTTTAGGGAGGTTACAAACCAAACACCAAACTCATTGCCATTGAGCCTGTTCTGACTGCTGTCAGCCCTAAGAACCTGATAGGGTTTCCAAGGCTGTAACCATTAGAGACCGCACTGCCACATCTGTACCACCAGTGCTCTCAATTAGATCCAGTATCGTAGCCAATCCACACAGAACATTTACTAATTGTTCTTCATTTGTTTTGATAGTAACATGTAGATATTGCCAGGGATCTTTTTATTCTAAATCCTGTACCGTTTCTTTGACTTGTAGTGGACTTCTTTCCTACCACAATTTCCCCCACCCCTTTTAAAACTTGTCTAAAGAATCCTGTTTCCTAGTTGAATGCAAGGATGTGCGTTAGATCACAACCATTAATTCAAAATAAAAATCTTTTGGCACATTTGAAAACATTAATTATACATAAAAGTTCATGAGCTTAATTTAGAGGGTCTGATGAGCACAAATGCTGTCATTAATAACTTATCTTTATAAGAATCTTTTTTCATTTGCAGAGTTCAGGGGTTTTAAAATTTTTATTGTGAAGTATTTCATATGTTCTAGTTAGTTCATGTACATAAAAAGAATAAAATTAAACAATCCTATCACTTCCCACCTAACAATAATACTGAATTTTGCATTGTTTTATAACTTGAGTACATTTGTAGTGTGTCGCATATTGCACTGCTAATTGTCAGCAATTCAAAACCACTAGCTGCTGCAAGGGAGATAGATGAGACTTTTTACTCCCATAAAGATTAAAATCTCAGAAACCCACAGGGTCAGTTCACTCTGTCCAACAGGGTCTCTATGTGCCAGAATTGATTCATTGCAATTTTTTAATACACATATATGCATATTTTTTCATTTGGAAATTAAAAACAAAAGTTGCCAAGTATTGCATTGTGTTTCTTGGCTCTATCATTGATATTCGTGGAAGTAGCAGTCAAGAAATAAAAAATCTATTGCATTGGACAAATCTGCTACACAAGACTTCTTTAGAATATTACAGAGTAAAGATGTCACTTTGAAGACTAAGGTGTACCTTACCCAAGCCATGGTATTTTTAATCACCTTATTTACATGTGAAATTTGGACAGCAACTATGGAAGACTTCAGAATGGATGCATTTGAATGATGGTGTTGGTGGTGAATATTAAGGTAACATAGACTGCCAGAGGAACAAACAAGTCTGTCCTGGAGGAAGTGCAGCTACAATTCAAGAAGAGAGGACTGTGAGACTTCATCTCGTATACTTTAGCCATCTTATCAAGAGAGCTCAGTCATGGAAAAGGGCCTTGTTCTTGGTAAAATTGAGAGTCATCCGAGAAGAAAGCCTTCGACAAACTAGATGGACAGAATGGCTGCAAACATAACAGAGTTGTGGGGATGGCGCAGGATACGCCCATGTGGTGTTTTGTTCTGCTGTACATCAGTTGCCACGAGTTTGTGCTCACTCCATAGTACCTAACAACAAAAACAACAGAGGCATTTATTTTTTTTTAAAAAAGCTTGGTTTCAAACCTGGGAGTTTGGAAAACTTAAATTTCAGAAGCTTCAAAGATTTAAGGAGAACAGAGAAAGGATTTTATATGAATTGAGGAACTTACTAGTGTAGATTTTATTTCTTTTTCTTTACTGGGGAAGAGAAAATAAAGGGATAAGATCTGAGAACTGACCCTTAATTTTTTCTTGGCAGCATTGGTGCCACCAGTGAGAATCTGAAAGGATGAATGAAACATGGTTTCAAAGATTTATGACTGTTTTCTAGCAGTTCAAAAGTATTTATTTTCATTATATTTTGGAGTAGTGAAGACTGCATCCTTGTTCCTATTGATGAATTCGCTAAAACCTCGAAAGTAGCTTATGAAACATGGCACTGGTTTTCATTTTCTTGATAGTTTTTGTGTGTCTGTGTGTGTGTACTATAATCTTCATAGTTTAAAATGTAGAGTCTTAAATGGTAGAGTTTTAAATGTCTGTGATATCATTTTAGGGAAGTGATCATATTTATGAAAAACATTTTGCTGTTTTGTATTGGGAATTGCAGCTTGTTGAAAATAAGCATTTAAATGATGGGTGTCTTGGCCAACAGTCTGGACTGTGGAGTCAAATCTCTACATTCACCTCTTGGCTCTGCTACTACTCTGAGCTTTCAGTAAGTCATTCATCTCTAAAACGGGCATAGTAACACATCCGTCTTATTGCATAGTTGGGAGCATTACACGAGTTAATACACAGAACGCGCTTGTAGGTCAGAGTCAGTGCTTCCTGTAAACTGGGGGTTGTTTAAATCTTGTAGGTAGTTCCTTTTGGTTAGAAGTGCATTTTGTTGCGTACATTACCATTTGTGTGTGGAAAGATGATCTTTCTAGAAGCATGTCTCTTTGTCACATGATTATGTGCAATGTGAGCCTTATTAATGTACTCTGTCAGCACTTGAGGGCAGAACATAAATGTGTGGCCGTGCCCAGCAAGAGGACTAAGCACAGTGGCAACTGTTGCTATTTGTGTCCTGAGCAGCAGCTGCCCGGGCAGGTTTATTTTTTAATCCTTAGCTCACTGATAGCCTGGGATGTGGCCCTACTTTGGAAAAGTGGATTGGTTGAGATTTCATGACTACATATTATAAAGGATGCTGGTTCTGTGAGATATGAAGAGTTAGTGCTTTGTGTGTTTGAGAAAGGAAGAGAGGCTAAACCTTACCAGTCTAGCTTAATCCCTGCAGTATCGTGTGACTAGGTTACTTAATAAATCACTTTTAATCTGGGCAGTGAGATTACTTGCTTTTCAGGTAAAATGTAATTTCCTTGTTTATAACATTCTACAGATGAATTACTAGTCTGTGATTATATTGTATGAGGGGGCTTCAAGAAGTTTGTGGGACAATCCATTATCTTTTAATTCCATTTTCCACAAACTTTTTGAAGCTGCCTCCTATTACTATGATAATATGAGAGCTAGTATACTATTCAGTATAAAATAACTAATTTCATCTGTGGATTTTAGAAATAGGACTTCCTTTCTGATGCATGCTTCATTACCAAATACTTTTCTGAAGTAGAAAATAAGATCCTGGAAAAGTTTGTCTTACAGCTTTTAAGCCTTGAACTGAAACTATTCCATGAAGTCATCTTTAAACTAAACAACAATTTAGCTTGTTTAATTAAAAATGTTTGCCTTGCGCATTATACTCTTTTAAAGAATTATCTATATGAGATTAAATGGACAACAGCAACTCTAAAATAAATGAGAACCTTAAGGGGCAGAGAGTCTGTCTAAATCAGTGATTTTCAACCTTCCTAATGCCGTGACGCTTTAATACAGTGCCTCATGTTGTGATGACCCCCCCGCCACCAACCATAACATTATTTTCATTGCTACTTCATAACTAATTCTGCTACTGTTATGAATCGGGTCACCCCTGTGAAAGGGTCGTTCAACCCCCAAAGGGATCGTGACCCACAGGTTGAGAACTGCTGGTTTAAATTAACCAAGGCGAAACAATCCGGCCAGACACAGAGTGGTGACAGTGTGAATGAAGTATGCAACCATTGTCATCAACTGTGCGCGTAAAAATAGCTGAAGGAGTATGTTTTTCATTAAAAGTATTTGCTTCAGAGAGTGGTTGGAGTAATTCGATAATTTTCTCATTTTTATTTCTGATTTGTTAAGTATTTCAAAGCCTTATGAGTTATTTTGAAGTCGTAACCTGCCCCATTTCCAAATATTGACTGCTTAAGCAGGATAAGCATTCCCAAAATATTACACAGTCCCTAAGATGCACCAGAGTCGGCTCTGAATCATGGTGATAGCCAGTCAATGTTGGTCCGGTTTTTTTTCCCAAGTTCCAAATAAAGATCACTCCTTAAGCCTAGTGTGTGCATGACTGACATAAAATGAAATATTTTCATCTTTTATTTTCATCCTTTAGGTATTGTTAACCCAAAGAACCCAAAGGAAGCTCCAAAGTCCTTCAGCTTTGACCACTCCTACTGGTCTCACACCTCGGTAAGTAAACCCTCCTGGTCCCGCCCACTGACTGCAAGTCTCCAGGGTCGCAACTCCTGCCTGCCCCTTCTTTTCCTTTCTGTCTCTTCTACCACTGCAGCAGCTGACTGTTGTTTTGTAAATGTGCTATAGCCTAATTCATCATTACATAGTGTTTTCTGACATGCTGTCCATAAAATATTGTAGTTGGTTGAAAATTTATGTATGAGGGGCCTCAAAACTTTATGGAAAGTGGAATTATCTTTAAGATCCCTCATATACACTAAAATGCACATGTACATATAAAGCTGATTTAGTATAGAAATTGTTGAACATTTTGAATAGAAATTATTGAATTAGTGAATGTTTTGGTGTATTTTCACCAGATTAAAAAAAGAGTATTCTGCGCTTCCATTAATTTTATTTAACATAAATTTAACCAAACCTTATTTAGTTTCTGATTTAGATATCCCAACAAGATTTATCAGAATTTCAGAATTCTCATTATAAGCATGACTGTACCTGTACCAAACAAAACCCACTGCTGTTGAGTTGATTTATAACTCATAGCGACCCTATAGGGCCGAGTAGAACTCAAGATTTCTGAGGCAAACTGATGGGTTTGAACTGGTGATCTTTTGTTAGCAGCCCAACACCTTTACCCATTGTGCCACCAAAGCCCCATGTGATATCTATAGATCTTAGGAATTGTCCGTCCAAAGATTTCTTAGTATTTTAATTGTAAGTTAAAGTTTGAGGGACTAGGGAACACAAATAAAAAGTATGGCCAGCAAGTTGGAGTGTAGCGATAGTGACAAGATTTGTTCTCTTACATGGTCGTAGATTAGTGCCATTTTCTGACATTTGGGAAAAACCTGAAGGTCCACAAGGAAATTTGGGAAAATGAAGAGTAAAGTCCTTTATAGCACTTTTACCCAGCATTGGACCTCAAATCTTATTGGTTTCCAGAATTTGCTCCTAAACTAGAGTTTGTTTCTACATCTTTCATCTAAAAAAAAAGACCCCCCCATGGGTTTTGTGTTGGCAAGTAGATGTTCTACACTAGCAACAAAACCTAATTGCCATGGGAGGGGCCTATGTGAGGGGTCTGAAACACCCCCTCCCTGAGAGCTGTTGGCTGACAATCACCACACAATCTGGAGCAAGTTCAAAGAGGTCTTCTTACATGTGGATTTGACTTTATCTTTTTAAGTAGACTCATGATTTTCTACTTAGGAAAATCTTGGAGCTCCCAAGAGGAGTGAATGGTGGTGCAATACTTTCAAAGTTATGCAAAATTAAGTATAATCTTGCCAGTACTTTCATGTGTTTATTTTCATTTATATATGGCTGACCTGGATGACTAATCATGCCTGTGTGTGAATTGTGTCCAATGAAAAAAATAAACTGTATAGAGGGGATTTAACATTTTTATTGTATATTTATTTTACATTGCCTATTCTGGTTCCGCAACTGTTGGTTTATTATAAATAATCAAACTCACTGCTGGGGAATCAATTACCCATACCCACTCATAGTGACTCTACCCTTACAAAGGGTTCCTAAGGGTGTCAATCTTTTCAGGAACCCATAGTCTTATCTTTCTCTCTCAGAGTGGCTAATGGGTTTGAACCACCATCCTTGTGGTTAGCAGTACATATAGGACTTACCCAGCAGTGCCACCAGGGATCCTTGTTGGTTTATTATCACTCACTCATTGTCCTTAAGTTAATTCTGACAGAAGAGAAATGCCTCTGGGGGTTTCTGAGGCTGTAAACTCTTTAAGGAAGTAGAAAGCCTCATTTTTCTCCCTCAGAGCAGCTGGAGGTTTTGAACTATTGACCTGTGGTTAGCAGTCTAATGCCACCAGGGTTCCTTGTTGGTTAATATAGACGCTACCAAATAAATATAGGGAAGGATTTGAATAAAGTGGGATTTATTTATCTTTTTATGTTTTACAGCCTGAAGATCCTTGTTTTGCATCTCAAAACCGCGTGTACAATGACATTGGAAAGGAAATGCTCTTGCATGCCTTTGAAGGCTATAATGTCTGTATTTTTGCCTATGGACAGACTGGTGCTGGAAAATCGTATACAATGATGGGTAAACAAGAAGAAAGCCAAGCAGGCATCATTCCACAGGTGAATTCACAAAACAATACACTTTCTGTTTATCCTTACTCTTCATTTTTAAATTACTTACTTTTTATATTAAAATAGAATTACTGTCATTGAGTCAATTCTGAAATATAGCGACCCTATAGGACAGAGTAAAATTGCTTCTGTGGGTTTCTGAAACTAAGTGTTCATGAGAAACAGACAGCCTCGTCTTCCTCATATGGGTTTGAGCCAATTACCCCGTGGGTTAGCAGCTCAGGGTAAATGTAGCCCACAAAGCCACTGTGGCTCCCTGTATAGTGAGCATGTATTCAGGGATGGTTGTATGCTAAACACAAAGCTGAATAAGCTACCCCTTTCATATAGTCTAGTGAGAGAGAATGACCTGTGTGTAGCTATCTATAAAAGATAATGGCAGGAACATGAATAACTTTGTGCAGATTGTACTGTGTACTTAGTGTCACATTATTTACCATTGATCTGTGTGATACACATAGAATATATCTTTCAGAGGCACTTTCCTGTTATTTTATTAGCTTAATATTAACATTCATCCTGTTAATGTAATACTATCACTAAACTTCATACACTCAGATTTTCTTTTTCAAAATCAGCATTATTTCATTGGAAATGGAGAAGAGTTCTGACATAGAACTCTTAAAAGAGTTATGATCTAGAAGGACCTTCTTTTTTTTACAAAAAAGGAATGCAGTTCACTTTTATTGACTATTTTTGGAGTTAATTTTAAAGTATTCTTTTACCATAGGCCTAGTGTCACTATCTCCATAGTCTGAGAATGAAATACATAAGGGAACAATAATTGCTTTTTCTAATGAGTTCTTGAGTTATAATCTTAAATTCAGTTATATAATTAAAATGCCCAATTATTAATAAATATTAGGAAAAGCAGTACATATCCTACCATTACATTTCTCCTATAATTAAATGTAGACATTTTGGCAATTGTCACTTATATATAGTAATACTATTTTTTAGAGCATGCATGATGTGCCAGGCCTAGGCTTACATGCTTTTCAAATATTTATCTAATCCTCATGTAACCCTGAGGGGTAGGTGCTATTGTTACCACCCCCACCCTCCAACCCCCGTTTTACAGATGAGGAAACTGAGGCATGGGTCATGCCAATTACCTAAGTAAGTGCAAAGTTAGGGTCTGGAGTCTTTGCTTTCTGCCACTAGGCAGTAGTTGTTCAGCAATAATGCAGCAAAATATAATTAAATTAAAAAAATAAAAATTGTAACAGATTATACTAAATAAACATGATTGTTTATCCTGCTACTCTGTTTAGTTCCTCCATAATTTCAGTTTATTTGTTTTAAAATTTTTTAATGGCATATAATTCACATAGTATGCAATTAAATAGTTCAGTCATATTAAAAGGAGTTGTACAATCATTACCACTATCAAGTGTAGAACATCTTTTTCTTCTTTTACGCATTGTTATCAACTCTCCATTTACTCCCAACCTTCTCTGCCTTACCCCCAAGAAATCACTGTATAGTCACTGTTTCTATAGTTTTACCTACCCTGCATTTCCTATATAGGAGGAAAACATACCAAAAGACAAAACAAAACAAAAACTATTAGAGTAAGACAGAAAAACTTCAATTGAAAAGAAAGCAGAAAAATATTAAAAACGAGCAAATTTAAAATGGGCTGAAAGGGGAGAGCATATGATAAAGTGTTAGTTTTTAACCTAGTTGCGTTTTCAACAGTCCGATTTCCACTGTACTCTGCATAATAGCAAGGCTCTGCATGTCCCTGTAAATGGTCAGAGTAGATTCACCGGAAGCTTAATCCATATGTGGACCTTGCAAGTGGATTTGGGGCTGTTACTGGAATTCTTGATAATTACATTTATATCTGTTTTCTGGTAGAACTTTGTAGTACTTTATTTTAATGCAAAGCATGGCTTCTAAAAAAAAGATGGAAATTTTATTTTTAACTTTTAAATTTGATAGAGACTTGTAGAGAATCATGAACATATATTTTTAAATATATATTGAGTGCCTTAATTATAAAAATATAAAACTAAGACCAAACCCATTGCTATTGAGTCAGTTCCAACTTTTATAGCAACTCTGTAAAACAGAGTTAAAACCAAGGCTGTAAATCTTTACTGAAGCAGATTACCACATCTTCCTCCTTTGGAACCATTGGAGCCATTGGTGGATTTGAACCCTCAACCTTCCAGTTAGAAGCTGAGTGCTTTTACCACTGCACCATCTAACTCACTCTAAATTCACTGTCAAGGACTGGGTAGAACTGCTCCTGTGGGTTTCCGAGGCTGTGACTCTTTACAAGAGTAGACACCCTTTCTCTTGCAGAGAAGCTAGTGGCTTCAAACTGTTAATCTTGCAAATTGTAGACCAACACATAACCACCTCCCCACCAGGGCTCCTATATATGTGAAATTTTAATTAGTAATAATTTTTAATTCTCCAGAGTTTTAATTTACTGTACACTTAGAATGTAGGAGCACTGTACCACCAGGGCTCCTTTATTCTAAAGGTATGACAAATTAATTCATTAGTTTTTTTGTTACTTTAACTAAAATTTTACACATTTTAAATAATTTTTAAATATAAACCGAAAACCAAACCAACTATCATCGAGTTGTTTCCTAAGCTATAAGTATTTTCCCAAAATGGGCAATACCACCCCCTGGAGGGAGCTGAAACATTCCATGGGAGGCCGGTGTCGGGAGCTGCAAAAACATCTACCTATACCCTACACTTTATCCTGGATTATGGGCTATAGTACAAAAGTTTTTTATTGTCGTGGAGGTACTTGGTAATTTTTTTTTTTTTCTGAAAAGGGGGAAGTAGGCCAAATAAGTTTGGGAACCTATGTTGTAAATCTTCACAAGAACAGCTTGCTTAATCTTTTTCCCATAGAGCGGCTGGTGGTTTTGAACTGCCAACCTTGTGGTTAGAAATGTATTGTTTACCCAGCAGGACCAGCAAGGCTTCTTAGTTCAAAGTATAGGGAGCATGAAATTTTATGATTTTTCTGATCTATAACAAGGAATGTTTTCTGATAGCATTGTTACTGTGCAGCATCTCATATAGTAGTTGCAGTTTAAAAACAGTTGCAAAAATACCTACTTCTTACTGGTCAAAGCAAAATTTAGAGTTAAAATAATTTTTAAAAATCTCTTCAGTTACCCCCCAAATTACATTATAAATATCTGCACAAAATCTGGTTAATAGATATTTTAATGCTACGATAATGCTGACAGTAGAGTCACAATTATTACAACAGTGGAAATGTACCTGTGACATCACTCCCCAATGATAGATATAATTCTCCCTCTTCTTGCTGAGGGAGAATAAAGATGAGAGGACTATACCACACTTTTCTTCTTTTAAAAAAAATTATGTTTTCAGTAGTTTTATTGGAATGTGATTCACACATCACACATTTCAATAGTTCAGTCACATCAAGAAGAATTGTACAGAATTATCACCACAGTCCGTTTTAGAGCATTTTCTTTATTCTTGTGCTTATCATTATTAGCTCCCCATTTCCCCCCAGTTTCCCTGGCCATACTCCCAAGGAACCATTAATCCAGCTACTCTCTCTATAGATTTACTTATTTTGGATTTCAAATACGGGAAAACATTTTTCAAAAACTAAAACCCTCAAAAAGAAAGAAGTTTCAGTTATCAAAAATAATTTATACAAATATGGAATGGAATGTTTAAAATTGCAAGGTAATGTAATGTAGTGCTTGTAAAATACTCTTGTCTAACATCCAATAGTATATTGATTTGTATAGTCACAATTTTTTAAAATGACTTCATTTTAACACCCACTGATATAGATTAATAATGTAAGTTCAGATTTAAAATTTATGGGAACCAGTGCATGTAATACTTTTGCAAGTATTGTGAGTTCGGTATGGTTTGAGAAGGGTAATTTAACTGTTTGGTGCCAGGAAATTGGTTTTCTTAATGTCCATTGCCAGCAATAGGCAGGCCTAGTCATACCTGCCACAGCACAGTAACTACAACTTATTAACAGAGAGGTGAATAGCTTTGAAATAAAGTTTCAGAGAAATAAAAAAAGAAAAAGAAAATGTTAAAACTAGGACAAATTTTAAAGAATTATAAGAGAGATCAAATAATAGGGTGCTAATATTTTTCTTTGGATATCAATTTTATTTATTTTATTTTGCTCATTTTCCTTCTTGTTTTGTTTAAAGCATTAATTATACTTTGGTGTCATTATCAGTATTTTGAAGAGGGGCTCTCACTAAGTCATTAGTGCTCAGGGGTAATATAGTACTTCTCCGACTTATGATAGATCTCTCTCATTCTGTTTCTGTAGTTATGTGAAGAACTATTTGAGAAAATTAATGACAACTGTAATGAAGAAATGTCTTACTCTGTTGAGGTGAGTACCACCAGGGTTGAAACCAGGGCCCTCTGTCCTCCATTGTCTAAACATTCTTGTAAATAAAGCCAAATTATAACTGGGCTACAGAACTCTTAACCATCCCTTCAGTTTTGAACATTTAGGTTATTTCTAAGTTTTATTTTATTTTATTTTTTTAATTTCTAAGTTTTAGTTTTAGTGAAGCATGATGCAGTTAAGTCCTTTTCATAAGTCTGTGCTTTTATTTTCAGTTATTTCTTTCCCTTAGGTCCTGGTTGTTAAACAACATATTTAGATTGCCTAGTGACCTTTTTAATAAGGAAGGCTGTACTGATTTCAGTCCCACACCCTTTGTGCTCTTGTCAACGTTTGGTATTATTATTTGAAGATTTCTCACTCTTGCTTCATTTCCAATTTCCTGGATTATCAATGTGGCTGAACATCTTTTAAATTATACATATACCTTTTTATGTTTTGACTGTTCAATATTTTTATTTGTTTGAGCTCATCCCCTTTAATATTGTTAATGTTCTTTGACAGACTTGAGTTTTTCAAAACGTATGTAATCAATTCTCTCCTCTGCCCTCCCCACCCCCATGATAATTGGTTATAAACTTGGAAAGTTGTTTTCCATCCAGTGTTTAACTTGACTATTTCAATAGCACCTCTGTAGCATTGCTTCCATATAGATGAGTTTATTCATGAACATTTCCTCTCTTTTGTGTGTGCTTATTGAAGGTCTTGTTTCAGTCCTCCTCTTTTGGTATTCAATTTCAGAGTAACTGAAATCCTGTAACATGGCCTGTTTTTAAAAATTAGCAGTCTTTCAAACAAGCTCTAGATTTCCTTTAATTGTAATTATTGAAATAGAATTTATACAACTCCTTAGGTGTTTTGATTATTTTTCTTGATCTATAAAAAATGTTGCATAAGTTTATATATTTTAAAGAATTCTGCCTTGTTGCTATCTTATACTAAGAAGATAATGTACTGCTCTAAAGATATTTTTTGTTAAAATGAATTCTCTAATACTTTGTCTTATCTTAAAACCATTTTCCCTGCTTTTTTTAAGTATATGCATTAAACTTTTATTTATATAGTTTCTCAGATTATTTATTACCTTTTTATTGTGACTTGATTGAAGGTTAACTGAACAGACCAGTTTTCCACTCAACAATTCATACACATTTTGTTTCATATCATTGGTTCCAATCCCGACAGTGTAGCATCATATATCGTACTTTCTCCTTGTGCTGTACCATGTCTATTCTTTTTCCTTTCCCAACCTTTCTGAACTTCATCATTGGATAAATGCTGCCCTTTTGATTTTGAATGGTCGATTATGCTAAGATGTGTGTATCCCCTTAGTCCTACTGTTCTCTTTATAGACCTGTCCAGTGTTTGGCTGGAAATTGAGCCACACAGGTGAGTTCAGTCCCAGACCTGAATGAAAGGTTACTAAGGGGCCGTGGTCCTGAGTGTCCCCCCAGTCTGTCCAACCGGTACATGTGGTCTCTTTTCTGATTTTGAGGGTGGTTGTTTTTGTTTTTTTTCACTAAAAAGAAGTTTATTTCTGTTTCATTGAGTATGCCAAAGCATTAGACCAGTGGTTCAAACCTTCCTAATGCCGCAACCCTTTAATTCAGTTTCCCATGTTGTGGTGACCCCAAAACCATAAAATTATTATTATTTTTAAATTTAATCATTTTATTGGGGCTTATACAACTCTTATCACAATC